AATGTATGTGCCAGTACACCAACCCTAAAGAGAAGTACCATGACGCAATGTTTCTGTTAGACATGAACACGTCCTCCTTTCATCAAACCTTTTAACCATTTGGGACAGGTTCTTTTTGTGATCATATCTGATGAATCAAGTCATATGTGCAGGATGTTATATGTCATATAATGGGATTATTTTCCTGTAATGTCCGGTATCAATCAATTGAAGTAAAAGTATGGAAATCTGAACTTTCACCTTTTGGTTTCACATCATATATGTCATCAGTATTCCAGCATCTTCCTGAGGCAAGGGAGTTAACTGACTGTAAAAGTCCAGTTTCCACCCTTGAAGGACTAGGCTGGAATTCTGGAGTTACATTTTGGCTGAGTTAACGAGTCACTGCATAGTCCAATCAAGATTGCTTAACAAAATAAACAACATGGATTCCAACAATGAACATGCATATTGCGATCGATTGCAGGATTTGCAAAGATATCTTCCTAATCTTTTCATGTTTTTAATCAAGGTGCTCAAATGATTTGATGCACTTCTTGAGATAGATTTTATTACAATATAGGTCTTGATTATTGATCAGATCATCTTGACTGGGCACAGTCCTTTTTGTTTGAAGCAAATGCAAGTGATATGACTGGTGGAATCTGATTAGTCAATAGGAGGGACATGGAAGGGACATAATTCATAATAGTGACTGGTGGCGCTATGATCGAAATTAACACCTTTGCCTTGGGAAGATAGTATTCCAGTTATGTCATAGCTGCCAGAAAATAATTACGACTGAACCAAGCAGACCAGTGACTGAAAGCATGAGCACCGATCCACACCATCAAGCACAGTGACACAGACTTAAACTAGTTGTACAGCCTGGACCCATGAGGATCCGGGTTAGAATAGGTTTTCAGCAACCCATGCTTGTCGCACGAGGCTCACAGGATTGGGTGGTCAGGCTCTCCGTCTTGGTTTGTGCATGTTATTGTATCCAAATTGCATAGGACTGCTGAGTTAGACATTAAGCCACAAAGAAAATCATGTAGGTAATTAATACATCTTCTTCTGAAAGTTGCAGTTATATTGTTGATAGTACTCTAATGATTGACATGTTCTGGTTTCAGGGGCTACAGAGCGCCAACCCTCACAATGACTACTGCCAAAACTTTGTAGACACCGGTGAAAGACCCCAGAACTTCATTCGTGATGTTGGTAAGGAACATCCCTGTAGAGTAGAAAAGACCCCAGGTTCTCCGTGCAACTGAATGGAGGTCGAGGTGGATACAATATATGTTGTGGATGATTGTGTGTCATTATTGTGTCAAGGGCACAGGTGGCCCTGTCATCGAAGGTGCAGAATATGCTGTGCAGAGTTGCATCCCTTGGGCATGCCACAAAACTATGATTTTGGGTTTGAATCCTGGTTTGCACCGATTATGTTTCCTGGTTTGTCAGCACCATGTCCGTGCTTGTGGGTTTCACCGAAGTTGTAAACGTCTGAGACTTGTATCACTTAGTCTTTTCGCCCCACATTAAGCTGACACACTGTTATATAACTGGAATACTGTTCAAAGCAACATTAAATCATAGCGCACTCTCTCATTGTTGTGGACTGCCTCCTTGGTCAAGTGGTAGAGCGTCCACCTGGAGAGTGGAAGGTCTGGGATTTGATCCCCGGCCGTGTCATACCAAAAGACTTCAAAAGGTGGTACTTGTTGTTACCCTGCCTGACGCTTGGCATAAAGTGGTTAAAACAAGGACTGGTCAGCTCGGAGTCAGTATACTGTGTCTGTTTGGGGTATTCATGTATTCAAATGAAAGTAGCGAAAACAAATGAATGCAAATTGAAAAGCTTATCTCTATAACAGAATTTTTGTTTCAAAAGATTTCATAATGATGATGGACCAAAATTAGCGGGTTCTGAATCAGTTCATTCAAGCACAAACTGTAAACAGACAAACTGACAACTGTACTTCCTCTTTAAGCATCATCAGCAGAGTTTAAGATTCTAATATTATTTGACTGTTTTCAGGTTTAGCCAACAGGTTTGAAGAGTACCCAAAACTGCGAGAACTCATCCGACTGAAGGACGAACTCATATCAAAGACCAGTTCTCCTCCCATGTAAGTCACAATACATGATCTTGTCACTGTGATCTGTGAAGATTCCTGGTTAGAATAGGTCTTATTAGCTACTAAGCTAGAAATTCTGGCAACAACTGAGGACCATATTAGCTTTCACTGATTTTCTCAGGTACTACAACTGTGACCTGGAGACATTTGACCTCCGAGAGCTTCAGTGCAAGTTTGATGTGATCTTGGTTGAGCCCCCTCTAGTGGAGTACCAGAGAACTAAAGGCGTTGTGTTTGATCGATACTGGAACTGGGACGAGGTATGTTTGGTTGAACAATCTTGAACAAGGATGTTACAACTGCCTTTGGTCTATGTGAGAAGAACATGTATGTCAACACAAGTATAGTTGTAAAAGTGGTTTGACTTTAAAAATTCCTTGATCAAATTATACCATTTATTCTATCAGACGAAAAATAGCAGAAATAAAACTAATAACTCATTTGTAAATATTAAACAGATTGGGTTAACTGAGGCAGAACATACTGACATACAATTTACAAATGATGTGTACACCTTTCAACAATGTGGAACCAGGTACATTAGATTTGCTGCTACTTCAGATTGAACGCTTAGATGTTCCTGCAATAGCAGCACAGAGGTCTTTCTTGTGGATCTGGTGTGGCAATGCGGAGGGTCTAGAGAGAGGCAGACAGGTGAGAATAGTTCTACACATTTGGCACAGTACAAGATATCGCTCTTACATACAGCAGTTATCATTTTGATGCATATAAGGCCTTTTCTTAAATCAGAGTTTACAATTTGTTTGTGATAATTCCTTGTTCTTCAAAACTATTTCTGAATGTGTGTGCAGTGTCTTCTAGTGGGTCATGCCGCCTAATGTTTGGTGTACATTGTGTTTTGTGTTCAACAGGCTTTGCATATGTCAGAAAGAAAATTAGTAAATATTTTTCAAAAGTATTTTTCAGGCTGTCAAATCCATGAACTAAATGAATAATGTTAAGTATCTCCTATTAAATCATTTAACCCGCAAAGATCCCTGTTAGAACTGGTTTTCCGCAACCCATGCATGTCCACCCCGTAAAGATCCGGCTTAGAATTGGTCTTCAGTAACCCATGCTTGTCGTAAGAGGCGACTAAAGGGATCAGGTGGTCAGGCTCGCTGACTTGGTTGATGTTACCGTATCCCAGTTGTGTGGATCAGTATTCATGATATCCATTACTGGATTGTCTGGTCCAGACTTGATTATTTACAGACCACCGTCATTGCTGAGTTCAGGGTTAAGCAACAAAAAACTAACTATTAAATCATTTACAACAATTGTCCTTGAAACCAGGAAACAAAAGTATTTCCATGTCAAGGTGTAAGGCATTGTTTGTTGCTTCAAACTATAGTATGCAGCTTCATTGGGCTAACTTAACCTTTCTTTTCTCTTAAGAATGGATAACGAAACTGACCTGTGCTAGTTTCTATATGTGCGTTTTACAATTTCAAGACTTGTTCAGACTAAGATAGTTTGATATTTACAATAGTGACTGTGCATTATTTCAGTGTTTGAAGAGATGGGGCTTCAGACGATGTGAAGATATTTGTTGGATCAAGACAAACATCAAGAATCCAGGCCACAACAAAAATCTGGAACCCAATGCCATCTTCCAAAGAACAAAGGTGAGACCTTTGCACAGGCATCATCTTGTTCTGTATAAGAGTATCATTTTCAAGTTAAATCACCACTTTTGTAATTCCCAACTTCAAGATGATTAGCATTTCATGAGTGAGTCAAAAACATTTACACCTGGACTGATTGGGCTCCAGTCATTTGAGCATGGCTCTTGTTTAAATTATGAACAGATTTTATCAAGAGAGTCCACCAAAAGCTTCCAGGATAATATCTATGTGCACATACAATTGTAGCCTGAGGGTAATTTTTTTAAACCCTTGTTTTGTTTAGTTGTAGATAATCTGTTTTAATATCAGTAAATCTAACTTTTGAGCCAAGCTTTCACAGCTGCAGTTAAAATAGGTATCTACCAAGCAGTCTTCACTGTATGCTTATCTGTATGTGACCTGCAGGAACACTGTCTGATGGGGATCAAGGGCACAGTTAAGAGAAGTACAGACGGAGACTTCATCCATGCCAATGTCGACATAGACCTCATCATAGAAGAGGAGCCTGCATATGGGTGTAAAGACAAGCCGGTGGAAATATTCCATATCATTGAACACTTCTGTCTTGGCAGGAGAAGAATCCATTTGTTTGCCAGAGACAGTACCATCAGACCAGGTTGGCTGTCTATTGGTTCTGAAGTCACAAGCAGTAACTTTGACCCAGAGGTTTATTCCAATTTGTTTCCTGACGAGTCTCATCATGTGACTGGATGTACGGAGGAGATCGAGAGACTGCGACCAAAGTCACCTCAGCCCAAAAATAAAAACAATAATTCAGATCGCGGAGGAAAGGGCCAAGGGAGAGGTTCAAACAACAGAGGTGGGCAGCAAAGGGGAGGTCACTCTAATCGCAACATGAGAGGAGGACATCCAGGCAGGGGCAACATGAGAAGGGGTATGGGACGAGGTGGGTTCAAACCCAGGAATGCACGATGATAGATCACCTTGAAGATGCATTATGTAAATACTGCCTTTTATCAAAAAAATAAAAATAACAGGATTTTAACAGATTCGTATTTAGGCAATCTTTTCTACCACTTTAAATTTTAAGTAACAGTAAGCATGTTGCCATGTCAAACTAAGCAATGAAAGATATAATGTGTACTGACCAAATGTCAATAAAATTGTAAATGCTGTCATGCCATAACATGTAAATAAATCATTGTCATCATCTGTGTTTGGACTTGTTTCAAATATACTTCAGAGTGAGTGGAAGATTAAGTGTGGAGTTAAGCACCAAGACAAACCCTTTTCATAAACATTTATTCACTTGTGTTTCACTATTTTACACAGTTGAACGTCTTGCAAAACATGTCCAAAGACTCCATAAATAACAATGCAGTTGGCTTGGTAACTGTCTTGATGGAGGACTCGAGATGACCCCGAGCACAATACACTTTAACACACATATGTCCTAAGTTCCACAGAGTTACTTGTACAGCTCATCCAAATAGGGTGTTCCAGACAGATTTCCAACTGCAGCCATGGAGGGCTTGCCATTGATCATCCTCTTGGCAACCTGTCCAACACAAAGCAAACACTGAAATACTGAACAAATCACACATAATGTGTTTCTGTGACAAATGGCAATCTTCTGTGTTAGATTTCAATTACAGTTCTGAGTTAGAGTATGGTTATACACTGTTTTTAGATATATCACGGCAAGGTACACCAGAAATTGGCTTCACACATTGTACCCATGTCAGGTCTTCGACGTGAAGAGTGAACGCTTTACCCACTACCCAACCTTACAGTTCTGATAAAGCTGGTGAGTCTGAGCCCAACACTTCTGCATGAGCAATGATCCATGCCATTTGAGAACAATGACATGAAATCAGCCAAATTGCAGAGCCTGTTTGTTGTTAGTGAATTGCGCTTTTCACAAGAAAGGACTGAGGACCTATTTGGACCCAGTGTCCACACTTGGCATTTGTAAATATGACTTCCATGCCAAAGTTAACTGTATTACAATTATACACTACTGTCACACATTATAACCAGCCAGTCCCCATTTGTCAAGTCTTTTATGCCAAGCATGGGGAACTGGGGCCCCACAGGATAAACAAGTCTTATGCACTTACGATATGTTCTACACAAAGGTACTCTGTTTCAACATTCTGGTAATGCTTTCTAATACTGATTATCTGAGCAAGTCACTATATTGACAAAGGCTATGTAAGTAATTTTAGATTAGCCACTAAAGACCAAAGGAGAAGGGCTATTATTCCGAAAAGCGTACTAACATTAACTACATCAGCCGTGGTGATAGCATCAATCATCCTGGTGACCTCTTCCACTGGTATGATTTGTTGGTGACCGAGAGCCTGTTCTCCCAGGTCAGCCATGACTCCCGCCTGGCTCTCATTGGCCATCAACACTGTGGCCTTCAGTTGGTTCCTGTAAGACGTTTCATTTTAAATACCGGTAATATAATAACAATTCAAACGAAACATTTATGTTGCAGAGTTGAGTACCTAACAAAGGCAGTTGACTCAACATGTCACATGTGGCCTAAGATTGACCTAAATCCATAAAACCATTCATATTTCCAGACACTATTTCTGTCAATTCTGCCCATATATACAGAAACAAGCACACAGCAATGGGAGAACTGCAAAACATTATCTTTGAGTGGTATACAGCATGTGTAACTGAACCTAACTGATGACAAGATGGTATTAATCATCAAGCAAATGATAACATCATGTCATCAGTTCCAAAACATTCAAGAGATATTTGCTCCAATCAAAATAATGAGTTAACCAGTGACAACTTACTTTGCCCTGGCTACCTCCTGATCTGTGACACCTTTGGTGACCGAGGCAAACTGGTTGAATGCCGCTCTCAATACCTGGAACAGGCCAAATACATAAACTCAAGAACATAGCAAGTATGTGTGGTTTGAAGCTGTTTTTAGCATTAATTCTAGCAATATCACGACAGGGAACACCAGGGACTTGAACCTCTGTCTTCGGCATGACGAGCGAATGCTTTAATCACTATAGGCTACCCCACCACCCATCAAGAACATATTCAGGGACATTGATGTACTATGTTGAATCAAACACTTATGAAGAATCAACGTCCACAAAACATTGGTATGAGGCCAGCTAAAGCCATCTTGGTCATATGATATCAATATCATACCAATAGTTAGTATCTCCAAGAACAACAATGAAAGGTTTACATAATATTGTATCTGAAACAGAATATAGTAGGTTGATTAGTTATTTTACTACTGATAACAGTGATATATATATAAATTCTTCATGAAAATTAAAAACTTTGCTATGCTATAATACACAAAAAACATCAACAAGTGCAACAAGTGATGAAAATAATTCTTAGTACAGTCAAACACTGTTGTGTCGAAGTTGAAGGGACCTACATAAATACTTTGAGTTATCCGAGGATCGACACAACCAAACATGATGAATAAAGAAGGCACATGCAGGAACCAAGCTTCTACTTGTTAGTTTGAAATCTGAAAGTTTGCACAATGGTGTTTGACTGTATGTTGGTGAAATCTGAGGAGTAACTAGTCCCATAAACATATCCCAAAGCTTACCTGTCCAATTTCATCTGGTTGAGCTACAGCGGAGAATCCAAACAGCCCTCCATCTGTGTAATTGGCATTTAAGCAGGTAACCTGTCAGAAAAGATAAATAAATAGGCAATTTCTTTACAGTGTGTGAGCTAACGAAAAGCCATTGGAGCCAACACAAAAGGACAGATATCAGATCCTATAGTGTGTAAACACAGCAGTTTGATCTACGTTTGGTGATCTTTGTAATCAGTAAACTACTGAATTAAGGATAATTCAAGCATAAACTACACATAGTCATAATTAACATACTTCATGTGAATTTCTTGCTCACCTGTCTGACAGCTACAGTGCATGTGGCACTATTCTTAACCAAACAAAGTGTCTTTTAAAGTCGAGTTGTCATTTCATGTATTCAACACTAATATATGTACCAAGCAAGAAGCAACTTACAGCGAAAGGCTGAGAGCAGGCCCCTGAGACGGCTTGTCCCAGCTTGGAGACTGTGGTGTTAGGGCTGTACTTGATAAATGGACCGGTGCCCATGATGTTCTGAAGCACACCCACAGGAAGCAGCTCCTTGGCAGCTAGGCTGCAAGAACCAAAACCCAGTTATCCACTTTTACTATATGTATCTGTACAGGTACATACTTTCCTTGCAATCTACTATGGCAGAAATCTGCGAATCTACACCTGGCAAGATGTCCCTGCCTCCAGAACTCCCCACCTTCCCTCGACCAGTATCTGACCGACCTGGCAGACCCAGCCAGATATATGGATCTCAGTAAGATATCTAGCAACATTTGGGATCTAACCTCTACTTAGTAGGCTGGTGTATATACAGGGACTTGCTTAGAAACATGTACTCCAATAAACCACTTTGATACTTAGTTCATATTACAACATTCAACATTTTCATCCTTCTAAAATTCAATAGCAGATTTACAGCATAAGCACATGACACCTTGCAATTGTAGAGGAAAAGGTTGATAAAGATGGATTGATCGTTGTTTATCGCAGCACTCCGCAATATTCCAACTAAATAACGGCAATCTGTAAATAATTGAGCTATGGCCAGAAAATCTATAGATTGACACTGAGCAGTCAATCTATGCAATTAGGATACAATGATATGCATCAACCAAGCCAATGAGTGACCATCCATTCACATTAGTCGCCTCTTTTGAAAACGCATGGGTTGCTGAAGACCAATTCTAACCTGAATCTCCATAGGGCAGTTCATAAAGATAATTAGAGCTTAACAGTGTCATAACAACATAGTCAATCTAAAACAGAGCCATATGCTTACATTGTAAGAAAATTGGAGTGAGTGCGTGTGGTTTTATGCCTCTATTAGCAGTATTCCAGAAATATCACCAGAATTCATATATTGTACACGTCGGGAATCAAAACAAGGGTCTTTGGCATGATGAGCCCACACTAGGCTCCCTCAGCCCCCGCCTCAAAAGAGAGGAAAAACAGTGATGCAGAATGCAAGTTGTCACAACGTCCTTATCAGTTACACACTACAGCTTGATCATTATAGAACATAGCTTCATGTCACATGTAAAGGTCTGTCAATATCAACAATTCCAAATATTCTTTTGACCTGCTTAACAGTCAATATTACACCCATGCAACAACAATATTACACTCATGCAACAACAAACACATCATACCCTCTCGTTCCCTGATTTCTAGGCCGGCAGCTTTCACACAAATAAACATTTATTATTTTAGCTCATTTATATAGTTTTACAACATTATTTTGTGTAAAGTTCTATTTCAAGAGGACCCTGTGTGATTTTGATGTCATTAAAGGTTCCCTAACCTATGCTTGGAATATGAGGCAGCTGACTAGATGCGGTGGTCTATTCAGGCTTGGTGATCATATCTGACACCATATCAATCACTGGTTTATCGGTTCCAGACACAATGTACAGGCAGACATGATAGAGCTGGAATATTGCGCACTGCGGCATCTAACTTAAAGAGTGAAAATTTAAATTTATATTAAAACATATTTGGTTAAATCTCCCACATACTGATGATCAAAGTGGAAACCTAGTACAATTAACTGTCAAACAATTTCATCCAGCATCTTGGATGACACAGTGAACACATAATTTCAGCCTTTCCTTGAGACAAAAATATTCAAGGAAGCAAAAGATATTTGACATGACCACAAAATGACCACAACAATATAATCAGAACCACCATCTGTGCTAGTTATTACGTAACCTCATTGTCCCTAATTCCAAACTCAATGACTGCCTTCCAATGATATCTTATCACGTCTTTAACATGTTTAGTAAAGCATGATAAAACAAAGATTTATCCATTTGGTTGTTAAACATTACTCAGTGACCTAAACAAACAGATTTTTTATCCCCAGATCAGCGATTGTTTATGCAGTGTAGACACTCACCTTGGTCCTTCAACTGCCACTGCAGCGTATGTCAGAGGACCATCATTGGCCACACGGATTTCACCTGCAACACACAAGTGTTAACCGATTCAGGCATCATGAACATGATAAAGTTATTAACACCTCAATTTTCATATAAATCAACCATGGTCCCATCAACCATGCTAGTCTCATGAAGAAAATAAATGGATTGGTGGTCAGGCTCAGTGACTTGGCTGATTGTGTTTAATCATACATTGTATCCAACCATGTGAGAAGCTTCTCATTATATCGATCAGTACTATGTCTGGTCCAGACTCAATTATTTACAGGCTGCCATCATACAGCTGGAATAGTATGTGGGCTGCTCAAAATAACAAAGAAACTTATTTATCATCAATATCCATCTTGTGAGCTCTGACATGTCACAAGACAATTTATTATCAAACATACCTCCTCCATGATACTGAGCTAGTTCTGATGCGGCGCCAGCGGAGCTGAATGGGGTGAACTTCTTGGCCAGGTTGACGAGAACGTCGTGGTCAACCCCAGCACCGACCAGTGCCATCCTCTCACCAGTGAAGTAGTTCTTCACATAATGGAGCAGCTGCCAGACAGAGGCAAGGTGATTAGACACTCCCTTTACTATTAGAGGGTTGTCCTTCAATCATAACCTGTTACTATCAAACCTACAGTGTATCATCCTCTATATATCTCTATAGGACTTGCATTTCGGTAAACCTACACTAACGCCTAGATCCGTTCCTGTAATTCTCAATTTCATATTACCTACTCAAGAGTACTTGGATGCTCATTTTGTATTGGAGACTTATGTAATTGCAGGGTATATATAAGTGCAGATCACTTTGTTGCTGTTTCTGAGCGGTTCAATCTTTTAAGGACACTGGCCGATTTCTGTCTAAGAAGGTACTTTTCAAATTATGAAAGGATATAGAAGCATATACAGTCATGCCCCGCTTATACAGACTTCAGATATCCGGAAACCTCGGTTCCTGGACGATTTTCATTCAAAACGAAATAATTACTATATAAATTTACCCGTATATACGGAAATTCAGTTTCCAGAACCGGATGGTCATTTTCATACACAAAACACTGAAATGCACACAAAAGTGTCTCACTTACCCGGACAATACACTTCCACTGGTGGTAATCCTTCCGCTGGTGGTAATCATTTGATTCGGGAGAAGTCAATTAACCAAGTGACACTGAGTTACGTTTGAGACGAGCTTGTTTATTGTACATGTAATCCCATTCGATAACCCACTACAGTCACTCACAAGAAAGCTTGTGCTTGTATAGAGACCTTAATTACATATGACGAGAACACAGGCGATCTGGACAATTTGGAATTATTGTTTAAAATTCAAACCCTCAAAATGTGGTAAAGTTCAAACTTCCATGACAGATTTTTTGAAACGGTGAGGTGAGGTGAAATGGGATTTAACGTCGCGTCAAAGATTATTGCACTTATATAGCGACGTGTTTTGGGTTTGTTTTTTTAAACGTGTATGTCTTGAATAAAGATTGAGTGGATGTATCTGCTCTGTCATCTGTCATGAGTTGCATAATTGAAGGGAAGTAACTCTTCAAGTAAGAAGCTGGTTTCAGTTATACGGAAATTTGTTTATACAGACGAATTGTGAAATGACGCAAGTGTCCGTATAATCGAGGCATGACTGTAATATCAAAAGTTGATAATATCACCAATTGTCCAAATACATTTTGTCTCTAGCAAAATCACTGCTTCATATAGACATGGTTCCTTAATCTGGTCATCATGTTTCATTTCATATCCCCAAAAATATTCATGATCCCACCTACATCCTGGATGTTTACTAACCTGTTCCGGGCTGTACTTGCCAACCATGAACTGGGGGGCATAGACGGAACGTCCAAGTGTGTTCCTGAACGCCGCCTGGTGGAGGAGCTCAAACAGTCCTGGCAAATGTACATTGTACATTCAATCAACCATTACCCGTACAACACAACTGCTGTTGACTTCTATACAATTACTTACGCATACAGTTTCTGTTCCAAACATTCCATAAAACACAATGCTCATATTTCATTGCTAACATTCCCTGATGATGATTTAGCAAAATGATTACTCATAAGATGTATAGGGGTGGTGCGGTAGCCAAGTGGTCGAAGCATTCTCCCATCTTGGCCAAGTCCTATTTTGTGTCCTCAATTGGAAGTATTGCCTGAATGCATTTCGAGCTTCACCCACCACATTGGTGAAATATTGCCAAAATTGATTTTAAAAATACTCACTAACTTTAAATATTATGTATATGTAAAATATCTTAGTATTCGTATACAAACTTGAGTAGCATACATGATGTAGTTTTATCACACAGACAATTAAACATTTCAGGTCAAGCAGCTATATCCACATCTTTCCTGAAACAGATGATGACAAGTCTGATAATGTGTCTACTTACTGACTTGTGGTTGGGTTTCCAAGATGGCAAGATCTAAATCAAGTTTGGACTGCAAATCAGACAGCTCCCATGGTTTATAGGAAGGGCCAGTAGTGACCTCACGTAAAAGCTCAACAACTTCATCTCTGGAAAAAACATCCTTTCAACTTTATTATCAATTACAAAAGAAATTCTTATTACTCATATCTGACACATCAGATATATCTGATAAGCTTACTTCATGGCATATCTTAGATTTTGTTTATTTAGTATTGTTACATAACATATAGTTGGATGGGTGACCACATTCGGCTGCTTCCCTCCTGAGAGTTTCTCGGACTTCAGTCCTGCCCCAACTGAAGCATGTGTAGCACACGTGGGATCTCCTTAGGCAAGTGGCTATTTCGAAATGGGCCTCTGTTCACCCAGCAATGAATTGTAGAATTTTCCTATTCGGAATATTCTATAAGTAATACGTTACCACTGTTATACCGAGGCTGTTGTCTCCCACAACTGCTGCTATAGCGAAATCTACCACAGAGATCTCAATTACCTCATGCAGCACGTGCGTAGCCACCTAGCTGCCATGTGACACCCTTCACTCTTGTCTCTTGCGAGAGCAAGTGCTTGGGGGACGGATGGGCGGGCAGCAGACCAGTGGTAACGTATTACTTATAGAATATTCCGAATAGGAAAATTCTACAAATTACATTAAGTAATACGTTACCACTGTTATACCGAGGCTGACTACCACAGTAGGCGGTGGGGAGCACCTACAACCCGAATCCTGACTGCTAGCGTTCCTTCCGACCAGCGGAAGTAAACACCAAGGCGGAAGCACTCGATGCGCATGCACCTAGCTAGGCGTTACCCTATAGGAATACCAAAGCACTGTCAAGCGCATACCGTAAGGCTCAATCGTCATTGCCAAAACGATTGGTGAATCCAAACGGCCCCACTGGATAGGTATTTAATCGCCCCAGCGGATGAGAACACTGTATCCGCGTGAGCTTAATCTTAGATCAGGTTAAACAGTAGAAAAGAGGGAAATTAATTTCATTCAGACCGTATATCCCAGAGCAAGCCTACTTAAAGTATGCATTAGGCGCGTGACCTAATTCCAGTATTTGTAAGCATGCATCACAAGGTTGGGATACACGACAGACAATTAAATACATAATTGTCAAAATACAAATAAGGACAAAGCACATAAAAAGCTGCCCTCACCTGTGGTGTGAGTGCGCTGGTTTGCGGGACCCCAACTCCTGTACCCACGGCAGTGGGAACATTGGAGTCGACCCAGATTGACCACCTTGCAAGGTCTGACGCCTGAGGAGTTCGGAATTGCGCTGGGCACACCCCTTAGGTGCCCGCTTGCGCTGCGATCCGCGGGCCAAGAGGGTGCACACTCTCCACGACAACATCAGCGACCTGTTTGAGGTAATGATTGGCAAAAACCGAGTCAGAACGCCAGTAACAACCTCGTAATATTCTGCGAACAGAGATATTCGAGTGTAGGGCAAATGTTGCCGCTAGCGCCCTGATCTTGTGCGGGTTTGACCCCGCTACGGGTAACCCCCGAGACCGGTACGCCAGATTGATGACAGAACGAAGCCACAATGCAATCGAGTTGCGAGTTATGTCAACCGTGCGATTAAGGTTACACGATATGAACAGACGGTCACGCCCTTGTCTACGTTCATTCGAAGCCTTAAGATAATACTTAAGGGCCCTAACCGGACACAGCGCTCTGTCCTCAGTATCAGCAGGATGTAAGATTTCTTTGAGTGATCTTACAGTGAATTCTCTCTCCGTTTGCCCGATTCTCGGCGACGAAGCCCATGAGCAGGCCCAGGCGGACCGCTCCTTCGTCACCCCTATCGAATCGTACCTTGGCGACATCGAGTGCATGAATTTCGGATACACGTGCCGCCGTGGCAAAGGAGAGGAGAAATGCTGTTTTCCAAGTCACATGCCGGAACGAAGCACTATGCAAGGGTTCATACGGCGCTTCCGTAAGTGATTGCAACACTAGGGAAAGATCCCAGGCCGGTGCCCGAAGGCGGCCCTTCTTAAGATCGTGCTGTTTGAAACCCTTGATAATACCCCGTATCACCGGCTCTTTGGAGAGACTGGTACCCATAGCAACGTCCCGTACCGTAGCAACGGACGAGATATAGTTGGCAATGGAACCCCCGGAGAGTTTCCGGGTCTCTCGCAAGTGAGACATGAAACGAGCAATATCCTGCACAGATACCTTATCTGGCGAATGAATGTGATGTTTACAACACCACTTCGTGAAAATAACCCAACATGCATTATACACCTTCTGGGTAGAATCATGATGCATACTAACGTATGCCCGAGACGCCCGGCGAGAAAAACCTTTACTCCTCAGACGCTCGGTGACAACATCCACGCGTGCAGATTGAACTGCCCTGTGTTTGGATGAAGCTGACGGGCGTGAGGGTGGATCAAGAGATCCGGTCTCACAGGCAGTGGAAGTGGCGACTGCGTGACCTGGGTCAGCAAGTCGGGGTACCACGATCTGTAGGGCACATGGGCGCGATCAGTAACATTCGACAGCGAACTCCTCGGAGCCGGCTTAGAATGTGTGGTATCAACGCTGTTGGAGGGTAAGCATAAGCGTCCAAGCCCGTCCAGTCTAACGCGAGAGCATCATGATCGATGGCCCTCGGGTCCGGGACTGGTGATACAAACAACGGGAGTTGATTGTTGAACCGCGTTGCGAACAGGTCGACCATCGGACGACCCAAACGTTCGCACAGCCACTGAAACACTACTGGGTTCAGCATTCACTCCTGAGGCCTCGATAGAGCATCCGCCAGTACGTACCGCACACCTGGGATGTGACGGGCGCGTATCTGGCACGGGACACTGTCCACCAGAGCGTAAACTCGAACGTGAGATCGAGTAGCGAGTGACTGTGGGTTCCCCCCAGTTTATTCACATAGGACACTACCGTCGTGTTGTCGGTCGCCAGCATGAGCCGGGCGTCGACGAGACGATGCTTCCAGTGATTGACTGCGTTGATAACTGCCTTGAACTCGAGACAATTGATGTGAAGACCTAGTTCGTCTACGCACCACAGCCCCGAGCTCACCTCCCCCTCTAGATGGGCGCCCCAGCCCACTAGAGAGGCGTCTGTATACAGGTTCAACGTGGCCCGGTAGGGCCGCATAGAGACTCCTGATTAGACATTGTAAGGGACCGTCCACCACTCCAGATGCGGTCGGAGCCGATCCGGGAGGGCGACGGTCGCACTGTTCACCTCCGTTGCTAACAACTGGATTAAAAACCGTTGCAGCGGGCGGAGTTGGAGACGACCCCGTTCGGTGCAGTCTTGGGCTGATACAAGTAGCCCTAACAGCTGTTCCCAAAAGTGAACAGTCTGTTGCACCGCTAAGACTTTGGCAATCATCGCCTGAATCTTGTGCCACCGGTCTGGGGGGACAAAGAGGCGATGGGACACTGTGTTGAACCGACCTCCGATGAACAGCAATCAGCAGATAATCCACCCCAATTGCTCCAAGAGCCGACGTGCGTAAACGAGATGGCGTGACAGGGTGTCAGTCATTCGATTTGCTACTAGCGAGTCGTCCAGGTACGCGAAGTACCGGACACCCCTCCTGTGGAGGAACCCCACTATGGGGGTGGTTAACCGGGTGAACAGCCAGGGAGCGGACGTGTGAATCATTCTGAGTTCGGCACTGTCCTACACCCCGGTGTTATTTCTGGTAGAGCTAACTCCCGTACTGCCCCTTCTCCACCAACCTGCCGATGGCATCGGCGAGGATGGGAAGATCGGTTTCCGAATCGAAACCTGCCAACGGGGCAACGGTGAGCGGCGGATTCGCTTTGAGATCAAGCCGATAGCCGTACCGAATCATGTTGACCACCCACGGGTCGTCGAACACTTGTTCCCAATTCTCCCAGTAAGTCTGGAGTCTGGCTCCCACTGGGGAAGGAGAGGGGGCCCTGACAGGCTGCGGCAGGCGCAACTGTCCAGGGCCAAGTGACTCGGGTTCGCCTAAGGGCCAACCGAAGTTGGCGCTGTCGGCATACGAACCCCTCCAATGAGAGTCACCTGGAGGGGCCCTTGCCGTCCTTAGACGACTTGGGCTTCCCCCAGTTCCCCGTCTTCCCGCGAAAGGGCAGCTGATTGCCCATACCGGAGCCCTCAGGGCGGGGCTACTTCCCAGAGGAAGAAGAACCCGACCCCTTAGACCTACCGGCCGCAGCAGCCTGGGGCGCGCTCCGGTTAGGAGCAGCACTCCCTATGCAGGGACCCAACAAGAGCAAGTGTGTGCCGAGAGTCCTCGGCAACGTACTCCAGGGAAGCATTTAAACTGAGCAGGCAGTTGTAAATGCGCTGGTCACGTCCGTGGGAGAACCTTCGACCAGACTGGCCGCTGCAGCCAAGTAAGTGTCTCCGTGAGACATGGAGTGCCGAGCGAGGGCGTCCAGCTGGTGCAAGGTAGCTTGCGTTACCGTAGCAGCCGGTGGGGCACGGACACCCAACCGCTCAACATGGGCCTCCGCGGTAGGACCAGCCTCGGGAAAGGCAAGGTCATGTACCGGGAATAAACCCTTTCTCCACGACGTCGGAGGCAACGGGAGACCCCGACCGGAGGCCGCCGCGAAGGCGTTCTCCAAGGAAGGCTTGATACCGCGCAGCAAGGTTGATGTGGGGAAAGCCATGTCGGAAGACTCATCGTATACCTCGGAGGAACCCACAGTCGTGGATTCCCCGCGGTACCGGACGGGGCATGTCCTCAAAGAGGTCATAAACCATGGCCACGCGGTCCTTAACCGATAGCGGGAGCAACGGTTCGGGGGAAGGACCGGTGACCACGGGAGCCGCCGCCGTACCGTGGACCCCGCGTCCGACCCCGCGGCCACCAAAGTGGCCGGGGACGGAACAGCCAGCGGCCTATCCTGAGATAAGGCCGCCAGCTTGGAGTCCACGAGTTATGCAAGTAATGCAGCGACGGAATCCCCGGACAGCCCACGGGCCGCCAAGGGATCCGCCGCAGCCGTGGTGGTGGTACCCGCAAGGGGACCCCGACCGGACGAGCCGGCCACCACAGGGATGGAAACGGACTGCACATACAGCTGGTAGCGCTCGCTTGCGGCACACCCCGCAGCTCCTGGTTGCGGGGGTAGAGGGGGTGGAGGACGGCGAAACATCCATGTCAGACATTTTGTTTGTACTATGAACAAAGAGCAAAACATGGTTACAACACACGCACCACAAATAGTCACAAACGAGTATTTTCACAAGAAAATAAACGAGCAATGGGAATATAGAACATACACATATAACATATAGAGGAATAAGTGATGTAAAAACCCCAAGATATACTAGAACAGGGGAACGTAAGACGCAACGTGCATACGAGACATCCCGCAAAAAAAAAAGGGCGGGAAAAATATTTCCTTTTGGCGGGAAAAATATTTCCAAGCGTAGTTACAGCAAACGCCCCGTAAAAACACAGTTTATTAGAGAGAATAAACAGTAATAAATATCACCGAATGGTCGGAGAAACAGGAACGCTTGAGCAGTTTATTGTACGTCTTGCTAGAGCAAGCGAAGAGACAAGAGTGAAGGGTGTCACATGGCAGCTAGACAAGGGCAATAACGTTGACCTTGTGTGCGGAGTCTAACGTAATATAAGCAACAACTCTGCACAACAAATTGTCATCCTGTAGACCACTGATTCACAACACTCAACACATGCACACAATATTATGAAAGTTTGACTCACACATTGTCTCTGGTGCAGTCAGAACTGTATGACATATACTCTCTTGAGGTACTGCACCTGAAATGTTTGATTAAGAATAAAAAAATTAAGTATATCAAACAAGAAAATGAAAATAGGCTACATCAAATAATGTACTGTATTCTACGTAATAAGCGCAAATATCGCCATGGGCGCTTATTACGTCGAATACAGTAATATATATTTTGATATAACACTCCAAAATAGCACACCTTTACCATGCTATGTATTATCAAGGCTAACAGGATAGGTCATGTATTCATATTTTTCCCTCATGAAATTCTGTAGCATGTTTCTGCAATTTCAATCTGGCTTAATATCTCATTGTCTTAATCTTATTAAAAAGGTTCTCTGATCATACTAAAACTATGACACTGATAACTTGACTTACATTAAGTTCCCTCCAATCTGTTGAATGCCTCTAGTTATTTTAAACTGTGATGCTTTTTGTGTGCTCTGCAAAGGAAATTACACCTAATTATATAGTAAGCAACATACATAACCATGATAACAGTTCAACATGTTTAAGTTTAAATGGAATGTTTGTAATTGTTCACCACAGATTTAGCGTAAGTTACTATTATCATCTACTGTCAAGACCGGAATTTGCAGTAAAAGTAGTCTCTTGCAAAATAGACTTTATAAAATAGACAACATGACCATATTCAATTTTATAAATATGACACATGGGTAGTAATCATGGTAATAAAAAATACAGACAAATCACAATTCTGTTAGAAAATAAGAGGGGCCTTGGGATCCTTCAAGATTTATGCTATGGGAACCGTAGTGTTAAAAGTAAATCTTTTACATACCAAGCCTGCAGCAGCTCGGAGGCAGTGAGTCACACCAAGGTTATCTCCTGATTCAAATCTTGATCCAGCATTTACTACAACAGCCACACTGGAAAGTGGGGAGTAGTTCTCAAGGGAGGCAACTATCATACCATTGGGCAACTTGGTCAGCTGAAAGTAAAACATTACATTTACATAGGGCAAAGCTGATACTTGACATTTCAGCTTAGATATATACATGCCGTAGCAACTGAAAGGAAACACCATATCAGTACATAGATTAATGATACTAGAAACATCACAAAGACTCTTAATGAAAGAGTTTCAAAGATGTGTAATAAGAAGTATTGCATGTTGGGTTCAATCTCTAAACTTGTGATGGATTCGAAACTAGACATCATCATTCAACCAATTATCTCGAATAGTGGTGTAACAATACGGCGATACAGTACTGTATTGTGATACAAGGCACGCGATACAATATATCGATTTACAACCACTGTATCGTGTGTATCACGATAAAGTTGTATTGGTGTAAAATGCATTAATAATAACAGAAACTGTTCAACAACGAGCTTATACAGATTGTCTAGTATTTCCCAGTTGGCTATAAACAGCATCACCTACACAGTGCCCTCTAGCCGATATATTTTGGCCCTTCAATCTTGCATTATTATATCTGAAATTTAAAAATAAATGATTCAGGGTTGTGATTCACCAGCAACAAGAAAGAATATCAACTAATGAAATAAAAGCCCTGTATTCATGGTATTGGGATACCAATTGTATAGCACCAATAGGATCGGGATATGTATCATATTGTCATCCTACCATATTGTTTCACCTCTAATCTCGAAGTTCATTATTCAGTTCATTTGCTCGAGAGATGGCTGCTCACCTTTGGTGCTTGCTTGGTCAGATTGACTCCTGCTTCAGACTGTGCTGTGGCAGCCTGGCTTGACATCAGCCGACCCTAGACAGAAGTGCATAATGGTATGTAGTAGTGTAGTAGTACTAATACTACTATGTAGTATGTACCATGAGTAAATGGTAATAATACTAAAATGGAAAAATAACATTCATACTTTCAGCATCCTTCAGAGATATTCAAATTTACCACTTTATTATTTAAAGGGCGGGGATAGACAATCTTGGGGATTATTAACTGGTCATATAATACATGTGACAGTTATCATGGGTATCACTAGGCAGTGTTAAAAAAGAAGCATGAAAGTCTAAGGGCCCTTGTCATATACCTAATGTTAAAAGTTATACTATTTAAGGCGTCCCTACATGCAAATGCCATTGGAGAAAATCTCAAGGACCATCCTTGAACTTCACACACTCTTATGGGGCAAACACAGTATTTGGGTCCCTGTCTGTAATGGAACCAATATGTGATTTTGTAACCAAAATTTCTTTGCATTAATTTCTAAAATATACATTAAATTTAGAATTATTGTCACATTCCTATCAAAACAATTCAATTAACTTAGGTTTAACCCTTTTAACTGCCCTCTTTTTACAGTGACAAGATGTCTCTTTCCAAACAAAACAATCAATCAAGTTTTGCTAATTGGGCTGGTATCCAGCTACCAGACTTAGCCTGCCTGTGTAGAAAGGAGCTTAGTGCTTATATTGTGCTTAGGTGCCTTTGGCAGACTCATTGAAATAATGTGTTCCAATGCATTAGTAATAAATGAAGTGATGAAGCTCATGCAAGCTTTCAAAGTCATCATGGTCATATCATAACTTGATGAAATGTTTTATTATATATGTTCTTCTCATTGACCATGTTGACTATTGTTTGCAGTATACATGTAAACACAAGTATATATACTGATATATTTGTGTGTGTGTCTCTGTGAGTGCGTGTGTATGTGTGTGTGTACAAAAGCACTTGAGATTCTTGGTACAAATTTGTTTGGGGAACAAAATCACATTGGTCTATATCCTCTTCAACAGTTTCTGTAATGATCATGATGATTTTGGGTTGGTTGGTTATCGCTGCACTCAGCAATATTCAAGCTATATGACAGCGGTCTGTAAATAATTGAGTCTGGACCAGACAATCCAGTGACTGATATCATGAGCATCGATCCACGCATTTGGGATCGATGACATGCATCAACCAAGTCAGCGAGCCTGACCATCCGATCCCGTTAGTAGCCTCTCCTTAGACAAGCATAGACTTCGCCTTTTACAGCAAGTATGGGTTGGTGAAGACCTATTCTACCCCGGATCTGATGATTTGGGGAAAGATGGCGATGGACCCTACAAAATGAAGGATATGGTAACCTCTGTTAATTTCTATCCCTGCTTGGTGTAACCTTCTTTATCATATTTTGGTTATATGCTGCACACATATGATACATACAAGTCAGCATAACATAATAAGCATGACAAAGCACGATCAGAATAGTTAGCATGACAGTGCTGCATCAAGTAAACTAACTATCTTCACAAAATGAAGAACGTTATACTTTTAGTGTCCGTCCTGACATTTTCGATCATGCAACACATTTATCAATTAAAGTGAAGTCGACACTTCTCGAAAATGTACATTGAATGATTGATGTAGGCCTAGAACCTAATGTTTGTCATTGATAAAGGTGACGCATAACCGTGAACATAATATCATGTACACGTAGACGTTTCAAAACCACATATTCTATCATATCAATACTTTCTCACTCATAACCAAACCGAAACTATTACACTTGTGTTTGTATCGAACGCGACATTTCAAGCTGACAACACGTTCGGTCATCTGCCGGATTCTCATTGCAACTAAGAATACTTGAGAATGTTTGTCGTAGAATCTGAAAGAATTATATGCAAAAATAATATGAGCGTGTGTCGTTCATCGATACCTTCAGGGTCCCCATAAACCTCCTAGATGCTCGAGTTGCCATGGTCTTAACTTGCCCTTGACTTGCCCCAAGTTCGGAGCTCCGGCAAATGGCTGCTGTCACGTGATCGTTTGACGTTTATCTCCCTTGGAATAGAGTTATCTGCTCCTGACAAGCACCTGTACAAGCTCCTCCCCAGTGCTGGACACCATCGTTACCCTCCAGTAACATGAGTAAAGGGAGCTCGGCAAATGGATAATTGCTGCGACGAGCTTGGCACCTGCTTTAAAAACGCAGAAGACGCGACATCCCAAGAAAACAGAATGAATGATAGTCAATTCGTAAAAAAATTGTCAGACGTCTTTGATTTTTTCTTAGATATACAGAAACCAATAGCTGACGATACATGCCTGCAAAGACTCCTGGATATCTTAAAGGAAAAATGTTAGAACTTCTTGGTCTTGTCATGCTTTTATGTAAAATTACAGATATAAACTTTCTGAGTTTGAATACCATGTAAATTTCATTTAATTATTGAAGAGAAGAAACGTTTTTAATTTGCTGTTGTCTTTCTTTGAAACAATCTCTGGATATTGTTAAGATAAATACTGTGTAAAAGTAAATGTATTAACATTTTAATGAGGGACTAACTATCTAGACTGAGCTAGATTTGAGCGAAATTGAAAACATACAGACATACATTTGTTTGTCATTCAGTTTCAGATACAGAGTGCAAAAGAGGAAGTCAGTTTATTAAAAAGGCATGTGAGAAAATTGACAATTTGGAGTCAAGCATTGTGACATTTGCTCTCCAGCTCGCAGGACAGGAAGCACAGAAAGAAGGTTTAATTGTTTCCCGGCATCTGTACGAAACTATCAGTAACAAAGGTCTATGGAAGGACATATCTATTGGAACATCCTACTTCGATAGCTTGAGCCAAGTAGCAGGGACCTCAAACGGTTGGACATGGCTGACAGAAGAGAAAGGTAGAAAAGTCATCATGTGTCAATTAAACACTGTTCATAACAGTTTTTAGTTTGTTAGATCAGTATGACATAGTCAGACAAAGCATTTATACAAATTATGTTATTTTATTGCAGTTTGCAGTCCTAGTAACTTGACAGAACTTGTGTAACTGGAGTGGTTTAGTGAATGTATCGGGCGCGGGTGGCCCAGTTGTCTAAGGCACCGAAATTCGCTTTGCAGACTTACATCCCTTGGGGACATGATCAGGGCGAACCAGGATTTGAAACCTATGATTGTGGGTTCAAATCCTGGTTCGCCCTGATCATGTTTCTAGGTTTGTAAGCATCATATCTGTGCTCGTGGGTTTCACCAAAGTGGTAAACATCTGGCACCTGCATCACTCACTTCAGGCTTTCCTCCAACATGCCCTTGACACGCTGTGATTGAACTGGAATACTGTGAAAAGCGGCATTAAACCCAACTCACTCACTAACTCACTAGTGAATGTATCATAAACAAGGTTCAGATATCATTTTTATCATGTATGGCAGTATCTATAAAGATTGATGACAGAAAGGAAGGCCCTGTGGACATAAATACACAAAGTTAAGATATGCAACAAATCTACACATACAAATATAACATTAGAATTATAACTTATCAACAAATATTAGAATCTTATAATTATATGATCACATGGTTACTATGATCCGTATTAATTTACTAGTTTGCTTAAAATATCAATGAAGACACCTAATGACATGGTCCATTAATAGAGGGTTTGTCATAAAGTAAACTATGTATAGTTACAGTGATGATAATGAAATTTATCCTTAGCACACTATTTGAGTGCATAACAACATGAATATGTACAATAAGATATAATAACCTTGTAATGTGTATGGCACTATGCCCAATGACATCACATACGTGATGTACTAGAATATAATTTGCCAAGATGACTCACCTGAACCTTAACATATAGAATACAAGATCCATAGGATCAACATGCCTCAAAGAAATTTTGTAGCATATCTACCTACCAGGTTTTTAAGCAAGTACCTATATTGTCATAATATATATGCACATGTGTCACCAAGAAGGTAAAGAAATTGTAATTTGCATGTGGTACCTCAGGAATCAAGAATGAGAATGTGGCACATTTCAGTTTAAACATGTTAAATATTTATGTAAATTGTAATGTAAAAAAAGAAAACAAACATTATGAAAATGAAACGAGAAATATGTTTTCACAACAATGACTTCCTGAAACATATGTTATTGTTTTCATGGAACATGGGGTATTACGTTGACACAATCATAGTGGTATACATGATACTGCTAACATTTATGTATCTGCTGTGGTAAAGTTAATAGTATGTTTTCATAATTAATCTTTTCAAAGTAATAGCTGCATTGTTGTAATATTATTTTATATTGAATTAGATCTGTGGAGTCATGCAGATCTTGTTAAAATTAAAACCCACAAGGTTGTGAGTGCGTTTGTTATTTTTAATCATGAACTGTACTTCTCCATGAGAGTTACCTCTCTAATAGTAATATGTTTGCTCCTGTAGCCTGACACATCAGCTATTCACACTGTCCCAAATTGCTAATAACTTGCTATACGGAAACTGGGTTAACGTTGCTGTAGGCATGTCTCCACCCCACTCGACAGGCAGACCCGCTACACGGAAATGGGTCAATGTTTCACTGCAGCAAAATGCTGTATGAGGAAATAGGTCTGACAGAGCTGGACTGGTACCCTGCCCTTTGCCTCGTAGCGGCTGCAAGCATTCAAGGGCAGGTAAACAAGTCTAGCACGGGGCATGTGGCCATCTTATGACTGTTGTCGAATAACACAAACATGTTTTGTGTAATAATTTATAGTCAGGAATGTTATCTTTTCATAATTATTTATGTACTTCATATGTATGATTATCGTTATACATATGTGAAAGAAAGATAAATTTCTTTCAAAATTTTGTTTACATCTTTCCAACTATTACTCATCCCCATGTAACTTTGTCAAACCAACAAATAAGGCAAATCAAACACTGTAACATACTACATCAGTATGGTAACATTCTTATGTATATACAATAACAATATCTATTTCTAATCAATCTCCTCATCATGTAAACTATCATTCATACATGCTCTGTGCAGAACTTTTAATTAGTTTAGAGGTATATCATGGTATATAGCTACATTATATGTACAGATTATATTTACTTACAGTAACAATAAGTTAAGTAACATCCACTAAGGGTGAAACGATACATCGGTGAGTTTTCATATGACGATGCCATACACTATACATGTTTTCTGTATCGATACAAGAAGATAGACTTGGTTATATATAGGTAAGGTTTCTGCCTGTATACTCTCCTTCCTCTCCCATCCCCCCCCCCCCCCCCCCCCCCCCCCTCCCTCTTCCCCCTACTCAAAGACATATATAATTAAATGGATTGAGCATATAAGAGGGGGATACAGGCTGAAATCTTTCTGAAATATATTACAGTACTTCCTACTCATTTAATGATTCCCCAACATTTTAGTCAGTCAAATATCGCAAGATGTGTTTCAGGTTCACTACTAAAAATAGCTGCTACGAACATGTGTGTACAGCTAGCTGTGCCTTTTGAACCTGCTTTGAAATATATATTGTCAAGAAGTTTCCATGTGATTTGACATAATTATGCATATCATGATACATATCATATCAGGACCCATGTTTTGTGATACGTATTGTATCTAGACCCATGTATTGTGATACGTATTGTAATCGTGACCTTGCTGTATTGTTTCACTCGTAACAGCCACATGAGATTTAATTAGCTATAATAAAATTACTTAATATTGTAAAGGATTTAAGCAAACATAGTTGTACTACATTTATTTGAATAAGATAGATGATGTGATTTATATTTACCACACATTGCATTATGCATACTATTAAAGAAAGCTAAGAAATAATCATGATAATACATTTGCACCTGAGTACATGGAGTAAAGCCTTTTAACACCAGAACAGTAAATAAGAACACAAAACTAACATTAACTAACCTCTGATCAATTGCAGTTATGTCCAGCGATGAAAAGACAACTTGTTCCAAGACAGACTCCAGTGAAAATGTGAATGTTAGCTGACCAGTCCCATGAGGCACCCTGTCACTGAATCTAAGGGGCTGGGGCGGGGGCTAGACAATATAGACCCAGAGAAATAATAGAGAAGGCAAGCGCAAAGTTGACTGTGCTATTGTAATAGTGATGCTGTTTAGATTTGGTGGTTGAGCTAGGACTAAGACTTAGGGATTCAAACAAAAGCTGACATTAAAATACACTTGATAATATATACATAATTACATACTCCTACACTTGCAAGGGGATGGTGCTTCTAAAGCATTATATCAGGAAGCTTTTGTTGGGGTCATTTTCAATAAACTTAAACAGACATGATATAACGGTTAGAAAATGGAGGTAGGTATTGTTTATAGAATCCCTTTGGATCATTGTGGCTATGACTTGACACGTTTCATCCATGCATTCGACTCGTCAGAGTGAACTGAATGTTGCAGTCATGCTGTGTATGTTGTAGTCCTATAACATCCCCATGAGGTCAGACAATTGTACCAGGCTACAGGATTTATAAGTGGCCATCAATTTATGAAACCTTGTGACTTTCAGTAATTATTTTGGGGGGTCCAAGGAATGAAAATGGGGACCCCACAGTAACCACTCTGAGAACATTAAATAGAGATTTAAAGTCTTACAATTATAATAGGGATTATTGGAATTTCCTCGAGTGAAGAAAATCTGACATAGACATTCTGAACATTGTTGTTTCTTGTGCTTCTGAATATGAAAGTTCCTACATGTAACATGCATACTAACAACTGAATTAGTCTTTCTGATTCAAATAGCCATGGTCTTTTGCACCCCGTTGGACTCCATGCTCAATTCCTATGCATATAGGAATCACTAGTTTGTATCTGGTAAGACCTTGAGACGGTCAACTATGACTGCATCTGATGTGAGGTCACACAATCTTTATCTCGTAGCCTAGTGTTAATACTTTCCAGCTTTGTAAGAATGATGATGTTAATTGTTTTCTGGTCATGTGATTGTGTATGCACATTGATTATCAATCTGAAGAATCCAAATATGTTCTGAAATTGTATTTCAGATTATGTAGAACAGGCAGTCCAGTCTTTACAAGAAGACACAAGTCTGTTTCTACACTCCTCAGCTAGGAAACTGATCACCATGTTATTAAAGGCACAGAATCAGTTAAAAATGGATGCAGAGGAAAGAAAACCAGGATGCCAAGTAGCAATATGCCACCTCCTGTCTGAAGACATTCACAGAGAGTTACGACAGGCAGCAGATTCACCAGACAGACCATTGACTTTGTACCTTGAGAACCTCCTGTCTATTCTGGTCTCCAGTGAAGGTCTATTACAAGAAATCTATGATGAGGAAGTTGTGCACAATATGCTGCGTATCTGCCTTGGAAGACGATCAGGATCTAGTTCTCTTTGTGGAGAGGCACTCATGAAATGCCTCTGTTTATGTCAGCAAAGGTATTATCTAGAATCTCACTTATAAATATTTTGCAGAGGTTTTTTACAAAAGTAACTGGCATATTATAGTGAAAATGAATTATTTAGAATATATGGGATGACAGACTGGATGGTGATCTTGTTTCCATAGTAACATGGTCAAGATTAACAAACTTCCAGATTAGTGACCCCTGTGTGTATTTGTAAGAGATGTCTAATATGGGAATTGTGTGGTCTCATTGGCACATTAGCTACTAAGTATGGACATATGATGGATGATACTATAATCATGTAAATCAGGAGGATTTGACTATCAATGGTTGTGGTGTTTCAGGACGGAGACCATCGAAAAGACCAACTCTTGTGATCAATCTGATTTGGTGTCATCATACCCAAACACTAGGCAAAAAAAAAAAGAGTGTGATTCAGGTTTCCCATGCGACCCTAGTCCCCAACCCCGTACCTTTTTTCCTCATTATCCTCAGGGGCGGTCGGGTAGCCTAGTGGTTAAAGCTTTTGCTAGTCACACCAAAGACCCAGGTTCGATTCCCAACATGGGTACAATGAGTGAAGCCCATTTCTGGTTTCCCCTGCCATTATATTGCTGGAAAATTGCTAAAAGCAGCGTAAAACCTCACTCGTTCACTCACTCACTCACTCACTCACTCACTCTTCTCGAGTTGCACTTTGAGCTTTATTTCAATCCCAGTACTGAGACACATACACTGGGTTGTTCTTGGACAGATCCACAGTGCCTCGTCTTTGCCAAAATATCCCATTAAGGGTTTGTGTCTTGTGTAATGACAATTTGTCACCTGGCTGATTGTGTGTCAATGTACCCCAGCAATGTGGATTGCTGTTCATGTTATCAACCACTGGTTGCATTACTCAGACTTGACTGTTTAGAAGATGCAGTTGGAATACTACAGACTGTTGCTTAAAACAATATTTACCCACTAGCCTTAGAAGTTACTTGGTCCTGATGTTTTTGATTGGAGGTTTCCAGGGCCTGTGCTTAAATGTGAGTCACATAACCGAAATAGATGAATATTTGAGTTAGTAGTTATTAGTTCATGTAACAGTCGCAGCCCGATCCCCACCTGATTATTCATGTTATTATAAATCAGTTATTAGATTAGATTGTTTCTTTTATTGATATAGACCATATTTATAGTCCAACCAAACATTCATGTGAATGTTATTGGAACTTGGGTTGAATTGTTTGATAGGCATTACTTAGAAGTTCATGGATGACAAAGTAGACACAATTTATGGACAACAACTTCTTTAACGTGTTTAATACTGTAAAGGCGACGTTTCGGAATAGATCCTTATACCGTTGTCAAGCAAGACAGTCTTGCTTGACAACGGTATAAGGATCTATACCGAAACGTCGCCTTTACAGTATTAAAGAAGTTGTTATCCATAAATTGTGTCTACTTTGGAACTTGGGTTGCTGAAGACCTAATCTAACCCGGTTCTTCACGGGTGTGGAACTTTATGTTAACAGACTCCTTGAACAGTTTGTTTCAAAAGAAAGAAAATATACAAATAAATTAACTCCTTTTGCACAAATTCGAAAATATAATAATCAGTTTATTGTGGCTTCTTTATTTCAGAGGAAATGACAGACTTGATGATTTCATGAAGAGGTTTTTAGATCACAGTATTGATGGCTTAAAGCAGGGAAATGTCTGCAAGTATCACAAGCTAGCTGTCAAAATCCACCAAAGGTACGGTGACATGAGATATGCTTCTCTGTCTTCTCTGTAGTGCATAGTATAGTCTGGTGAATAAAACAGACCATGTCTGAACCACTTGGGGTTTCCGGGTTAGAATTGGTCTGACGTAATCTATGATGGAATCTATAACTCATTCCAAGTCATAACACCTCAGTGGTGTGGATTGTTCATAAATATCAATCGCTGGATGGTCTGGTCCAGAGGAGGGATGGAGTAGCCCAGTGGTTCAGCGTTCGCTTGTCACCCCAAAGACCCGGGTTCGATTCCCCACAAGGGTACAAGGCCCATTTCTGGTGTACACGGCCGTGATATTGCTGGAATATTGCTAAAAGCGGTGTAAGACCATACTCACTCACTCTGGTCCTGAATAATTTTGACCTGACACTCTTATAAAGAGAGAACCGCCTTCGTGAACTAGTGGTAGAGCGTCAGCCCGGAGAGAGGAAGGTACACGGTTCGATCCCCGGCTGCGCCATACCAAAAGACGTTAAAAGATGGTACTTGTTGTTACCCTGTCTGATGCTCGGCATTAAGGGGCTATTTCCCAATTTCACTTCACCTTATAAAGAGGGAATATTGCTGAATGCTGTGTTGGTAGTTTCACGGAGCTGGCACGGTACATCTATATTCTGTGTTGGTAGTTTCAAGGAGCTGGCTGTGTGTGGTGAGCTGCAGGAGAAAGTGTTGTTGCCCTACAGCATCATGCTGGGGGAACCACCCCTGCCTGTGGACAGCAGCCTGCTCCAGGCATGTAGACAAGCCATGATGAACAAGGCAAAGTGTATACAGCTGCTCCTCCACACCACCGACTGTCTGCCACTGAAGGTAAACCCTGTTAAAACGTCTCATGTCATGTGGAACTAGCTATTTTAAACTGAAGGTCATCGTCAATACATTACAACTCTCCATCACCTCTGAATACATGCCGCCTAGGGCTGTAACAATTCACCCATACATGATATCATTGATACTTAGGTACACACGATACTAGAATCGCCAGTTTGTGAGATCACGATATGCTATAAATAGAAAAGGAACTAATGAAGTTACCTCCCATAATGGCAGAAGTAGTGGCCTCTGTAAGCTGAGGATGCGCTGACTGACTGTTAATTTAACAACCATCCCTTCATTTGGTTCTTGTGGTTTTCTTTGTTAAAATATTTGAGATAACAATCAGTCATTTCTTACTATTTGATGTGGTGTATTGTGATACCAGTAGTATCGTCAGTCCATATGATCTGCATCGTATCACAAGATACCAGGCGATACTCATCTTCCCGAGGCAAGGGAGTTAACTGACTCTAAAAGTCCAGTTTCCACCTTTGCCGAACTAGGCTGGAATTTCTGGGCTTGATCGGGGCGCCACCAGTGGCTATTACAAGTTATGTCCCTCATATTGACCAGTCAGATCCCACCTCTCATATCACTTGCATGTGCTTTAAACAAAATGGCGGCGCCGAGTGAAGATGATAGGATCGATAATCAAGATCTATATTGTAAAAAAAACGGGTCTTACTTCGAGAAGTGCGTCAAATCACGTGAGCACCTTGATTAAAAACATGAAAAGATTTGCAAAATATCTGTTGACGGTACACATGCTTTGTAAATCCTGCAATCAACCGAAATCTGCACGGCAGTTTACAACCGGATGTTGATTTCGTTGTGTGATTTTGATTGGACTATGCATAAACTTGTTAGTCCAGCCAAAATATAACTCCATAATTCCAACCTAGTTCGGCAAGGGTGGAAACTGGACTTTTATAGTAAGTTAACTCTCTTGCTTCGGTAAGATACTCTAATGCAACCAATATGTACTTTGTTTAACCAACAAAAAGAGCAAAGGCCTGGTTCCATTGAGAGGGAAGGCAGCACCTTGGACCAATGAGTGCTCAGCTTACATCGCACAATGTGAATAGTTCCTGCTTGACAACATTTGCAACATGTACCATAGCCTTGCCTGCTCTACACATTGCTTCAATGTAAGGCAGTGGGAGGTTTTGCACAATCTTCATGCAAGGAGTAGGGGGACTTCCACGAGACATAAACTGCCTCATACCATGTATGAAAGATAAACACACATCACTGTTGCACTGCATATGAACAGATGATGGAGGAATGCAGTGTATGAGTAGTAACAATGTCTGAATGTTTTGAATGTTAAAATTTGGGCCGTAGAACTAGGTGGCAATCTTGATGACCCTCGGGAACAGCTTTGACTATTGCACCATAAAAAGTCTAGATTTCTGAGTTTGAAGTTTGAGTTTTGCAGCACACTTTCGTTTTCATATTCATTATGAATAAAATAGTTTTGCTATAACTTAGAGTTGCTGTGTAAGGAGGAGCCCTACCAGATTTGACTATCAATGGTTGTGGTGTTCCAGGACGGAGACCTGCAGATGATGCTGCAGTTACTGGAGCTGACACATCTGAGAGTGGATGTGCCTGTGGCAGATCATCTGTCCAATGACATCAGACAGAATGTTGTGGATAACAAACGTCTGCAGCTCAGTCTACTGGACAAAATCCACTGCAATATTGGTAAGTTATAGAACTGTGTAGAATCAATCAATCAGACTCCTGGTGGGACTGCCTCTGTAGTGTAGTGTGTCTGCCACATTGGTGGTTCGATCCCCGGATGTTTCACACCTAAGGACGTTAAATAATGGTTCTTGTTATTACCCTGCCTGGTACTCAGCAGTAAGGGGGTTAAGCAAGAACTGCTCAGCTCGGAGTGGGGTTTCCATGTGACATTACAGCATGGTATCTCAGCGGGCTAGCATTATAAAATCGGCATTAGTGCGGACTAGTACAAGCGGAGCTACATGCAAAACATCATTATATCAGTAAAATGTTCTTGAATGCAGTGTGAGTATGTGGAGATCCTTTTAGAGCCCCATGATGATTCCGGGGTCAGAATTGGTCCCTAGGAACCTATGCTTGTCGTAAGATGAAACTAAATAGATTGAGTGGTCAGCCTCATTGACTTGGTTGGTTGTGTTATTGTATCCTGATGGCTTAGTGGATTGTTGCTCATAATAACATTTACTGGATTGCCTGGTCCAGATTCGTGTATTTATTGGCAAGATGTCATATAGCTGGAATATTGATGAGTGCTGCATTAGCGCAACAAACAAATACAACAAAATGAGAGATATTTTAGAAGTAGGGTGATTAAGCTGGTTGATTTAGTCTGGTTTCTGGTTAATCTGTAGGTATCAGTGATAACCTCTGAATCAATTTCTCACCTAACCAGGAAGCTCTGTTCCTGTTGCCATAATAACTAAAGCCCTTGATGTCATCATGGAGATTGCAAGTGGAACATTCACTGACAACACGGTAAGAACATTGTATCTCAGGGTTCATCTAGTCTGTGAAAACTGGGAGGATTCATGACTAACTGCATATTTTTAGGACAATCATGAGCACAATTTTGAGTCATATGCATGCTAAACTTTAAGTCTATAACAAAAAATAACTTCAGGAGTTAAATCATACAACTAATTCATCTTTGCCTTTGAAGGTTGTAGACTATACCACTGTAGTAGCTATAACCAACCAGTGTAGCCATGAAGTGTATTACTACTGAGTCTCAGGACGAGATGTGAAACATGTGTTCCATAACATTCACAAGTACAGATTGCCGTTAACTCGTACAAGGACATATTTCTAATGAACACGGACATGTTACATGCACTATAGCAGTGGGTGTTGGGGATGGTGAGAACCGAGCCACACCACACCACACTATTAATATGATTACTGGTAACAGGAAAAGGTGTCACAACAAGATGACACCATTAAGATGTGCACAGATTACTGAATCTATTGGCTAATACCAGTAGTTTTTTTAAGAGAGAGAATAGTGTACAGGGAAGAGCTTTTACGCAATGAATTAGATTCCATAATATAGATATGATTAATTAAAATATTTGGAATTATCAGATTGAAATGTATTGGTTGCCAACTGTTAAATCAGTCATCACATCTTGCAAGTTGGTGTTTCAGTTACAACAAAACGGCTTCGACTGTGTATTGTCTCTACTGAGGTTATTGGCAACTGCACCAAATGGAAGTGAACACCTGACCAGTTATTTCCCCTTAGTTGTGCGTCAGCTGGACAGGCATCTTGTGAGCACTCAGTGGGAGAACAGAGACACTGCTGTTGAAGCCGTTATCAAACTTGCCAGCCTACACAGTAAGTAGACATCACTTTGACACTTCTATAGGACATGACCATAAGGGAGTGAGTGGATGTTTTCACTGTTGTAAACAATATTCCCGCTAAATCACAACAGCCTGTAACACGGGCCTTTTTTCTAAATATCATTCCATGCCGCCAGGATACAAGGACCCACAAACATTCATGTCTGACACTGGAAGCACCCAATCCTTGTTTTAGGTTTTTAGATAGCATAGGGTTCTAAGAATCTTATCTGACACAGTCCCCACAAGGATATGACGAAAAAGATTCTTGCTGGTCAGATTGACCTGAAAATTGGTCATTCCTGATCTGATCTGAAAGCCATATATATCCTCAGCTTGTCATATGAAAAGCAATATTTAGATTCAATTTAACAGAAACTGCTTGTGTCAGACTGACTGTGGTCAATGTTAACATAACTGTGACAGGTATATTGATCAATTTAGACATGGTAGTTAATTTCTGTATAGTTTCTGCACTATATTCAACATTGTATTCAATAACACAGATATTCCTGCTGCTGGGGCTCTTCTGTCATCCAGCCACATCTTGGGGTCGGCCTGGCAGTGTGTGTCAGACAGCGACAGCTACGTCCGAGCCAGCGCCATCAGGCTTATTGCCACAGTTGTCATGGCGCCTCAGCTCTGTGATGCCTTCTTGTCTCAGCTCAAACAAACAGAGGTGAACAACGTTTCTTGTTAAACTATGGCTGAAAATCATAAAATATGCTTTCATGTTGTGTATTATGCTGATGGACCTCTGTTGGGAGACCAATAAGTAATTTGAAAAGACAAACCATTCTAGTAGTTGGCCCATCGGGTGTACAGGTTCCTGGGGTATCCCACTCAGAGGAGGCTGCATCTTCAACCAATTGCTCCTCAAGAAGTATCACCCTCAGATGCTGATGTTACTCAACTTGGTCAAACTCAAGGTAGACATGTTAGCATGTATCATTTATTGTCAACCTTTTTCTTTTGTTTCAATCATCAGAAATCCTTTTGTTGCAGGCGGACATTGTTCACAAGTTAACGGAGATCATAAAGACAGACAGTGAAGCCTTCCCCCGCAGGGCTGCTGTTTCAAGCCTACAAGCCATTCACTCTAGCAGAGGTATACCTGAACCAGTTGTCAGGGAAATATTCTCATCTATGGTCCAAGCAATGGCAGACTTTGACTGGGAAGTGAAGGCAAATACTCTAGATTTCTGGCAATGTGTCTGTGATCAGAAGATAAAGAGTCTTCCTTCAGATGTTCCTGATTATGTTGTCAATCTTTTACCAAGTGGCACAAAGAGAAAGCTTGATAATGGCAGCACATTGACACATGATCTCTTTGTGCTGAGTCAGACAGGTTTTTGTGAAGCCATCATGTCAGGTACTGAGGACTATGACAACCATGTTCAGGAAAAATCTTACAAAATACTGAAGAATCTTAAAGGAAAAATCAATGATGATGTTGATGAAAATAAGCTCAAGAAATTGAAAGTTGAAAATGGTGATGAAACCAATGGCAGCCATCCTGTTAATTCTGAACCAGAATTAAGTACAGCTAGGCTGACAACTGTTCTTCAACTCTTAAGAGACACTGACATTGAACTAAAGTTGTCTGTATTGTCGGGCAGTGCTGATGAGTACAGCAAAAACCCTCTTGCTCTTCTGGAGGACATTTTGTCTGAAGACAAGGACATTGAAGATGACAAATTTGTTGACTGTTACTGAAGCAAAAACTGTAAATAGTTTTGTTATTTGTAAATAACATTTTCTCTAATTTTAGGAATCAATACTTAATGTTATTTCTCCACCCTTATTAAGAAATGCACAGTCTAGTGAGGATGTAGCTCGGTCAGTTAGCTTGTCAGGCAGACAAGCCGAAGGTTTGAGTTTGTTTGTTGTTTAACGCCGCACTCAGCAATATTCCAGCTATATGACAGCGGTCTGTAAATAATCTAGTCTGGACCAGACAATCTAGTGATTGACATCATGAGCGTTGATCCACGCAATTGGGATGCGATGACATGCATCAACCAAGTCAGCGAGCCTGACCACCCAATCTCGTTAGCCACCTCCTATGACAAGCATAATCGCCTTTTACATCAAGCAAGGGTTGCTGAAGACCTATTCCAACCCGGATCCGAAGTTTTGAGACCCATCTGATTGTCTTTTGTATGAGGTCAAGTGTCACTGATACAAACATTCTCATAAGAAATTGTGCTGCTAAATTCTATAGTGCTTCCCACATATACAATCTATCTGGTCCACACAGTCAGCTATATTGCAAAAACATGAAGGAATTCTGGAAGCAGTCCAGCAGAGAGAAAAAGTGAAAACAGGTTGAAAGTGCAAGTGTCATCCCTCATCTCTGAGTACTCTACGTGTTCACCCATTGTGACCATTACATCCCCTGTTACTTGCCAAACTGACAGACATGGATCATGAACTTCAACATTTTTATATAACTGAAGCTGCAACAAAAGAATAAAAGATAAAGTAGGTATTGTATTTATTAAGCTAAAACAGATTTCACATGCTAACAGCAGATAAGTATAAAACGAAGTACATGTCCGATATACATACATAACAGCTGAAACATAAACTGCAGTATGTTACAATAAGTTATCTGCATCAACTTTGTACAACAGTATGAAATAGATTGGACCAGGAGTCATATCTACTTCATGCATATTTTTATTTTTAAAACCAATTCTTGGTACCGTCATCAATACTCTATTGGTTTGTATCCACTAGTTAACTTGTATACCGGTACACCAACATAAACTGTTAATACATACAGCCGCTTTGCCGTGTAGTCACTATTTTAAATCTACAAATCAACCACAGCCTGGTTCCAGTGAGAGGGAAACAATCTAGTGCTCTGATTACATCAATAATGTTTCTCATTCAACATGTGCCATAGCCTTGTGGAAATCTACTCAACACTTCCTATTAGACTTCAGTGTGTTACACACGGCCTCATTTCATTAGCTAACTAAAATAGACGCATAACTATTACACTGAATATTGTAACCTGTGAAGTACTGACGATGCTAAGTACATTATCTAACTTAATACTTTCATACATGTTTCTAATGTGGAAGATCTATTTCAGTCGTGTCTACCAGATTACAAACTCCCTAATTAAACAATTGTGTGTCCTCTCACAATATTACTACGCATTCAAGTGTATGGTGAGAAAACTATATGGAAAAGGCACACAAGGATAACTGATTATGACAGTTTGTTATATTCAGTATTTTTTAGCACTGTGGAATGATAAACATGTGTATGCATTGGACGGAATTGTACACATGTGAGTTGCACACTAACTGGGTTGTCAAGGTGGTATTGTCTTTTCACACATTCATCTTTAAGAATGATTTCCCACATACACATCTTATGTTTTTCTTGTGAAGAGCCTGATGCAGAATCATGTGGAGAGATGTTCCTGATGATGGTTGTTCTGGAAGAGCTCAAATTTCCAAATGTGGCTTGGGAATAGAATCCTGTGTAAAGACCGATGCTCTTCTGGATGGAAAACCATTGCTCTTGTGAAAAGATCCAGCATTCTTAGGGATGGAAAGAACATGCTCTCTTATATTACACAGTGACCTCCCACACAAAGATCTCTGAGTATGCTGACGTCAGTAGGTGCTTGCCATCATGGGAAAATTTAGCGATGTTGACCGAGTCATTGTGGCCGATGAAATCCTGAAAACTGCCTTCGTAATAGTCCATCAGCTTCAAGAGACGCTCTGACAAAGAAAATGTTAATAGAACCGTAACAGCATGCAATAAAGAGAAGGAATTAATAGACCCTTTCAATAAGTATAGACTCTCATTTATTTGATGAATCATATTTCCGATACCACCTAACCACTTTGCTTTTACCTATGCATATAACTCGTTCTTCTTGTCTAGGACTCAAGGAATATATAATGTATACTCATATTATTCATTCCTTCTCAAAACTATTTCCCTTAGGTTCTTGCATAATGCACTGAAAGGCACACTCTTTTTAGGGTGTTTATTACATTTTGTTTTTCTGTGAAAAAGAGATATTTGCAGAAAGGTCTGCTTTCCAATGACTGGTTTATCTATATTGAAACACTACATTTAAGCTTCTGGCATAAAACTCAGACAACACTGGGATGGTGATAAAAGAAATAATGCAAAGTAAGAAAAACAAGGAAAGGGGTCTAGTTGCTCCAGATTAGGGTCGCTTGGAAACTGGAAACAAATGTTAGATTTGGCCTAAGAGTTTTACAATGTAGTGGCTGTGTCAAGAGATAATTGCAAAGTTTTGGGATTCTGACCTCGTATATTTAAATCAGTGATCTGAAAGACTGATTTATTCATAAAGCATTTATTAATCATTAATCTTTTATTAACTCCATTACAATTTTTAGTTGAGATTTATTATTTACAATTATTGGCAAACAGTGAAGTTGACATTCAGCACAATTCCTAGTACCCTTTCTATGTGAGGCGATTAAAAACCCTTTAGTGCTCGAAGGTAGCTTGGGTTGTATACTCCCCAGGGAGTTGAGAATGATAACAGGCATGCATATGGATCCACTGGTTGGGGAACCAATAAACAGCATTTGAGCAGATACTAGTACCTGGATAAGGGCAGTATATAATATGATAATAATAATACCATTGGTTCCAACTGCAATGAGGGAAGAGTCGGCTGCCAGATCCAGACAGTTGGCCCAGTGTGTCAGAGCTGTGGTCCTCACAACCTGCACCAGAGAAGAACACAATCCATGTTGAACACAGAACAAGCATAACCAGTGAAGGAATACGGTTAAACCACTGTCAGCACTATTCCAGCCATAATTGGCCTCATATATAGGGATGCTAATGGATATGAGGATCTATCTAATTTTGGAGTAAAAGGCAATCTTCACTTGATTTCAAAGTTTGTTTGTTTGTTGTTTACCGCCACACTCAGCAATATTCCAGCTATATGATGGCGGTCTGTGAATAATCGAGTCTGGACAAGACAATCTAGTGATTGACATCATGCACATCGATCCACACAATTGGGATACGATGACATGTATCAACCAATTCAGTGAGCCTGACCACCCAATCCCATTAGTCGCCCCTTACGACAAGCATAGTCACCTTTAACGGCAAACATGGGTTGCTAACCGACCTATTCCACCCCTTCACAGGTTTTGATTTCAAAGAATGTTACTGATGTCGTATCATTGCACATTCTCAGAAGCCTTAAGCCTATTATAGATGTGGATTTCAAAGTTAGATTTAAGAAAATGAACCACTGCCTCAATGAACTTTGAGTGTATTTACCAGAATACAAATGTCGGTTACACGTAACATACAAGCTACAGGTTAGCTAAGTTACGATGTCTCACAATGTAAATTATCTGCATCCATTAACATTTGTATGTGAATAGGAAGCTATATTTTAAAAGGAAACAAACCAAGATCTTCAGTGTTCTGAGACAACAGTTAAACTATCTGGCTTCTCCACCACTCCATCACTGTAGATGCCTCATGTGTTTGGATACTACAGTAAAAGATGGCCATAATGAACACCAAGGGACTAGTTCCTGTAGGTTTTATACACTCAGTTGTTCATTATAACCATGTTCTACAGTATATGTACCTTGGATGCTAGGACAATCTAATGTTGAGCTGCTTTCTTCACCCCTACCTTTCTCTGAGACAAGCTGTAGAACTGGAGATGTTTGTGCATGCCGTAGCCAGTGTACACAATGAGGTCGGTCTCCTCCGGCGAGAACCTGGCTATACTGGGAGGCAGGAGGCTGAACTGGGCCTGGAAGAAGAAGGACTTTACAGGAGACAGCACTTTCCATATATGAACTGAAGAGTATATTCTTATGCCACCGCCCAACTTCCCCACCACCCAACTGAACAGATATGCCAACTGTGTTGCTAAACATAAGCAAACATGATAAGACAATTCCACTGGAAAAGAATTACATTGAGGCAAATCATGAAACACCTGCACATGCAACGCACAAGAACTTATCGAGCAAAGGTGTACAAGAAAGGGACCCAGAGCAAGTTTCTCCCATGTATCCTCCAAAAAGGGTGTGACTGTCTATTATACACCAGATAATAAGCGATGGGCACAATGCAGTAATAAATTTAGACAATCATTTTTTTAATCATTATTCTAAAAAGATATTTTATTTTTTCTCTTCTGCCTACTTTTTTTCTCAGTAATTAATTTGGTCTTGCCTATTTTGAAATAATTAAATGCCCCAAACTGTGAGCCTACCAACCTTATCCTCCTTGTCTATGATGGAACCATCAGGAGCAAATGCTGGAGCAGGGAACGTCATCCAGTCAACCAGTTCACAGAAATCTTTTGACCAATCAGCTGACCAGACACTGACACGTCTGTCAGCACTTGTAGCCAGCCACAGTAGCGGTGCCGTGATGCCAACATCCTGGTCCTGTGGAGAAGGTTACAGCATATATGTACACAGACACATGGTAATGAAACCCACCAAACGATGTGAAAACCAACCATTTATTATGCTCTGGGACTTTGCTGGACAGAATATGTGTTCAGTCACTGCTTCATGACATACAAGTGTTTTCTCTGACAGAAGAAGCCGAACAATTTTGTTTTACACAAAACATTTTATCTGAGCAATGTCCAGCAAAAAATATTTCTTCCTCAAAACCTGAGGCAAAGTGATAGTTTTCCCAAATTTTTCTTTGAGCACCTCCTCTATTTCACAACTTGCCACCTACCAAATAATTCAATTCACTTAACCA